ACACCTCTCTATTCCAATACTCAAGGGAATCTCTGCAGAAATACTTCTCTCAGGGCAATTTCCTTTCTCTTGACGGTCCCCTTGGAGGCTCCCCATATAATCACCTCAGTGGCTCAGACTCTTGAAAACAAAAGCTGGAAAGGGAAGTGGTTCGGGGCAACTTTGGATTGCCACCCTGTCACAGACCTTCCCTTTGCAAGTACATCATTTCTCCTCTTGACTGGAACAGAGAAAATTAAAACTCGCAAGCAGAAACAAAGCAAGACCTTAGAAACTCTTGCTGCAGCACTTTTTAAACCTCATTTAGACCAAACATCCCATGTTTAAAGTTATGATGTAACGACACTTTCCATCAGAGTAAATGTACTTTGAAATCCTGTTGTTTAATGACCACATAGGGTGCCACCTCTTGAGAAGGAATCCTCTGAGAAAGTATGAGGGGTCGAGGGACAAACAGGTATCCCGGGGCACGCGGCTGGCAGACAGCATCAGCACGGGCCGACCTGAAAGGTTAGGATGGCTAAGACCCAGGTTCTGCAGAATCTAGCTGGACCAGAGATGTTCACCCTCTCACTGTCATCACCATCATCACCGTGGTTACCACTGACTGAGCACTTCATAGGCTCCAAGGACTTGCTGTCCTGTTTTAACCATTAGAATTCTAGTTCTCCATCCTAAGGGTGCATCGTAACCACCCAGCGTGCGGGCTATCAGTCTGGATCTTTTCCCTTCCTGCTCCTCCGTGTCAGATCGATAGACAAGGCTGGGGCCTGGGAATCGCAATGGTTGGAAAGTACACGTAGGTCATTCTGAAGCATGTGAGGCCACGTAGTGGAGACATCTGCCCCTCAAATGAGACCTAAAGAACTTAAATAACTTGCCTAACACTCGTACCCTGAGGCAGGCTGGTGACATCCCTTCTCTCTCCTGGCCTCTCCCGGGGTCCTGGGGAATGTTAGTCCCTGGCCTCTGCTTCCTCTTCCCCTCTCTGCCCTCCTCGGGCCTAATATCTTTGTGTTGTCTTATTTCTGCCAAGGAAAGTATGTTCCAGCAAGAACTATTCTACAGGTGTCTGTGTCCCCAAACTTTACTCCATTAAACCCTGTTTTCTTCATCCCAGAATCTAGACCATTTCTATCAGCATCATCAGCATCACCTGGGCATTTGTTAGAACTGCAGCGTCTCAGCTCCACCCCATCTATGAGGCAGAATCAGATCTCCGGGTGATTCACACGCACATCAGAGCCGGAGCAGCTGCCGTCCTAGGCACCTGCTCAGTCACATGTTGATCTGATTATTTGATGGCAGCAATTCACCATAAAAGCAACAATTTTCAACTCTGGTTGAATTAAGAATCACCTGATGCTCTTTATTTTTTTATTTTTTTGAGACAGAGCCTCAAGCTGTCGCTCTGGGTAGAGTGCCATGGCATCACAGCTCACAGCAACCTCCAACTCCTGGGCTCAAGCGATTTGCCAGCCTCAGCCTCCCAAGTAACTGAGACCACAAAGTTAAATTTCAAAGCATTGTTTTGTTTACATTTCCTAGCTATTGGCATCGTCAGTTACATCTCTAACCCTGGGTCCCCAGCAGACTTAGGCTGTTGTTTCTCATAAGCTGCTCTAATAACCACAGTAGGAAAATGCTTAACAGTAGAATGGGCTTACTCAGAGACGGTCTTTGAAAGTTGTTTAAACTTCAAGTATATTTAAACTCCAGCAAATGCCAAGACCAGTGCCCCTGGGCATAAGAAATAATCAATTTTGCCTCTTACAAAATTATTGTGAATACCTAATATAAAATAAAAAGAAAAAGTCTCTCTTTTACTAGAAAAGAACTTTTGGTACATCATGTAATTCTTACTCATTTGAAATTTAATTTGAAACATAAATTGCTTTTCCCCACTTTTGATTGATTTGTAGAAACACCATGAAATGAACATTGTTTTTTCCATTTCTTTCTCTACGTAGAGAATGTTCTTCATAGAATAGACTGTGAGGAAAATTTTGGATTTATTTTTCTCATTTTGGTGATCCATTTTAGAATATATAAACTTTGGAGCAAATTAAATTAAAAGTTTAAAGGCCCACTCCCAAGAAGTGTTCAAACTTTCTCTTACATGAAGAGAAACTTAACACATCTGAAATATATGTTCAATTTTTTCCCTGTTTTTCTCTTCTAACTTTTTTTGTGTGTGTGACAGAGTCTCACTTTGCCACCCTTGATAGAGTGCCATAATGTCATAGCTCACAGAAACCTCAAACTCTTGGGTGTAAGCAATTCTCTTGCCTCAGCTTCCCAAGTAACTGGGATTACAGGTGCCTACTACAACGCCCAGCTGTTTTTAGAGACAGAGTCTCACTCTGGCTCAGGCTGGTCTCGAACTCCTGAGCTCAGGCAATCCATCTGCCTGGGGCTCCCAAAGTGCTAGGATTACAGGCACGAGCCACTGTGCCCAACACTTCTAACCTTTTGAAAGACAAGAGTAAGTAAATGCCAATAGTATACATTTTTTTCTCTTGAATGCTCTTCCCTCTAAATTCTCCCTGTCCTATCTGCCAGGTACTGATTTGAAAGAGACAACAAATGTAGTTCAGTTTAAAGGGGAAAAAATGACAGGTCTTAGCACTAGAAAGTCAACAGTTGGCAAGTTCTTTCATTTATTCCTTAAACCAAAAGTAAATGAGCCCTCACTCCCTGCCACACAGGGAGATCGGCTCGTTCATAAGCAAAATCAGGCTCCTTTCCGTGTCAGGGAAATCTCCACTTTCATTTTACTCCTCCTCTCAGTGGATTTCACTCTTCTTCCTTCTCCAACACTTTTCCCCTCTTTTCTACTTTCTTAGATTTCTAAAGCACCATACCTTCCTGGTTTTCCTTCTATCTCCCTGGCCATGCCTTCAGCATATCATGGCCAGCCATTGTTGGACCTTTTTCTTCTCGCTAAGTCCTCTCTTCTAGTCCTGCGGCTTAAGACCATGAAGATGGCTCGGTGCCCGTAGCACAGTGGTTACGGCACCAGCCACATACACCAAGGCTGGCCGTTCAAACCCGGCCTGGGCCAGCTAAAACAACTGCAACAAAAAAAAAAATAGCCAGGCGTTGGGGCGGGTGCCTGTAGTCCTAGCTACTTGGGAGGCAGAGGCAAGAGAATCACTTAAGCACAAGAGCTGGAGGATGCTGTGAGCTGTGACAACAAGGCACTCTAAGAAAGGCAACATAGTGAGACTCTGTCTCAAAAAAAAAAAAAAGACCATGAAGATGCTGACAACTCCCAACTCCGTGTCTCCCCTCCCCTCTACCTTGAGCTCTAGCCTAGATCTTACGTCCAACTTCCCCTTTGATATCTCCACCTGGATGTCCAGTACCCATCACAAACAGAGCTGTGAATTTCCCACCAATGTGCTCACATCAATGCTCCTCCTCAGTCTTTCCCATTTAGGAAATTGCATCATTTGTTTGACCCAAAATCTAAACATTAGAGATTGTGTTTGGCTGCATATAAAAGAATCCAATTTAAGCAGAGTTATCTTCTTTTCACACTCCCCTCCACGTAATCAAAGGGCCAAAAGCAGGAAAGCAGGGCTGGGCAGTGACTGCTCCATGACAACAATGTCCCACGTCCCCACAGTTTTCTCTCCACTGTTCTCATGGCCCCACCTCCAGCCTCACACTCACGAGCCAAAGGAAAGAAAAGGAATTAACAAGCTGGAAGGCACAGAGCCTCACTGGAAATACTGCACCATTTCCACTCGCTCGCTTGTGCTCACCTCTGATTGCCCAGGCCCTGTTACGAGCCCCACCCCGCTCTGAGAGAGGCTGGGAAGCACAGCTTTTTAGCTGAGGCACAGTGCCACCTGCACAGCTCAGGGTGCTTATGTATGGACGGAAGGTAGAAGGGGTATTGGAGAGGCAAGCAGCGCTGGCTGCTCTGTCATCCTGGACTGTGCCCTTTCCCTCACACTTCCCTAGGAGTTCATCAGTAAGTCCTATCAGTCCCACCTCCAAAACGCTCAGTAAGTTCAATGGCTTCTCTTCATCTCTGCTGCAGAAATCCTGGTCTGGGACATGACCATCTCTTACCCAAACCATAGCAACACCTCCTCACTGGTCTCTGTCCTGCAGAACTGCCCTCTCCATAGTCCTTTCTTTATTTGCATAGGCTAGGGTAATCACGTGAAAGAATAAATACAGTCATAACATGCCCTTTCTTAAAATTCTCCAAGGATCTGTCGTAGTTTGTTTCCTCCAGAAGTAGACCTTGAGACAAGGATTCGTGTGCAAGTCATTTATTTGAGAGGTGCAGAAACACAGGTAGGGTAGTGCAGTGAAACGGGGAAGGGAAGGGAAAGGAGCCCCCCGCCCCGTGACAAGGCTTAACTCCAGGGGGAAGCACTGGGAAATTCTGGGAAACTCTTACTTCTGAATTCTCCAACCCAAGGAGGATGGAAGGTTACTTATACACCAACTCCCAAAGGTTGCTGGCTTCAGCTCTCTTGGCTTGAGCACCTCGCCCTGAGTCTACCCATACCCTGACCTAAATCACCGAAAAAGCCAACACTTCTAATTATCAGCCTTTCTCCTTACACACCCTAACACAGCTCTTCCATCTGAAGCAAAGACATAGGAGTATGGGGAGCCAGTTAATGAACAGGGTAAGAAGTTCAAGTCCAATTTAATGGTGTCTTAGAAATTTCCTAAGTTCTAGTCTCATTTGAAACTATGTTTGTGATGCTCTCCTTTTGACAGACTAAGAAAATCCTTATAACGTCTTTAATAATATGGGCAAATTTCAAGTAGAGAATATAAGATTTGGAATAATTATATCAAGTCAATACATCAAGGTACACAAAATTTAGGAATAATAGCCATTAACTGTATGTGCCATTTATTATTCCATAAATGACATTACTGTGTCTGTAGATCTGAAGGGTACCGATGAAAAATGAGTAAATAACTTTGGATCTATTTCTGCCTTTGGATTGGCCTGCTACTTATCTTTATTTTCCTTTCTTCTTCAACTGTTCCACAAAGTAATCATTACAAGCAACTGTCAGAGCCGCCACCATCACCACGAATTCATTAAAATCCACTTCGTTGTCCTTGTTCGCATCCAGGTCCTGCATTATCTTGTCAACCAACTGGGGGTCCTTTTGGCACTAAGGGGAAAAAGGAAATTTCTAACTTGGAGGCTTTGAGGTTCATGATAACAAATGAAGTCATGTTTTCTTTTTATTTACATTAAAGCCTTCATTTCCATTTTTTAGCAGCTGAAGACAATTTCCTCGAGCCTATTCGCAGGTAGATTTGAACCAGGCACAAATTCTAAATGAGTCCTGGTCCCCTGCCCAAGGTCCATATAATTCTGGCTCAGGCCTAAAGACCAAGAAAGGCAAACAGCAGCTGATCAAAGTGAGCTATGGATGGTGAACTTGCTCCTGCAGGCTATCCCAGGTGGACAGCCAGGACCTGGGAGGCAGCCCGGTGAACTGAGGGACAGCGGGTGGCTGCACCACTTACCAACAGTGGGACCTTGAGTAGATCACTTGACGTTTTTAAATATTAAAGGAGGAAAATATTTACCCCCACATTTGTGAGAGTGCTTAGCACCAAAGTTGCTAGATTTAGCAAATAAAAATACATGACAGTGGCTTGGAGCCCATAGCACAGTGGTTATAGCTCCAGCCACATGCACTGAGGATGGTGGGTTCGAACCCGGCCCAGGCCAGCTAAACAGCAATGTCAACTGCAACAAAAAATATCTGGGCATTGTGGCGGGTGCCTGCGGTCCCAGCTACTTGGGAGGCTGAGGCAAGAGAATTGCTTAAGCCCAAGAGTTTGAGGTTGCTGTGAGCTATGACTCACGGCACTCTACCCAGGGTGACATAATAAGACTCTGTCTCAAAAAATATATATAATCCAGCCAGTTAAATGTGAATTTAACTCTGCAATGCATAACCTTTTAGTAAGTACATCTCCACTACTGCCTGGCACACAGGACATTTAATAAGGCAGAACCTTCTCAGCCCAGTGCCTGACATGCAACAGAAAGAGGCACCGGATAAGGGGCAGATCTTGGAAGGATGACGGGACCTTACCGGGGAAAGCAGAGCAGGGAGCCCTTAAAGAAGAAGGGTGACCCGAGGGCAGGATTCTGAGGCACCTGCAGCTCCTTCCAGGATGAGCAGTTGCTGAGAAACGTTTCCAACAGCGCTCCCCTTCCTCCAGGAATTCCCCATTGCCTTCTCATTTACTGGCCGGAAACTTAATTGTTCAAAATTAACTTGATCAAAACAATTATACGTGAAGGTGCCAAGTTTGCCCAGTGTGGTGGTTCATGCTCGTGTTCCCAGCACTCTCAGAGGCCGAGGCGGGTGGATCGCTTGAGCTCAGGGGTTGGGGACCAGCCTGAGCAAGAGAGAGACCCCTCTCTACTAAAAATAGAAAAACTAGGTGGCCTTGTAGCGGGTGCCTGTAGTCCCAGTTACTTGGGAGACTAAGATAAAAGGATCACTTGAGCCAAGAGTTTGAGGATGCTGTGAGCTATGACACCAGGGCATTCTACCTAGGGTGACAGAGTGAGACTCTGTCTTTAAAAAAAAGAAGAAAATGGCTCAGTGCCTATAGCCCAGGGGCTAGGGTGCCAGCCACATACACCAGGGCTGGCAGATTCAAATCCAGCCCAGACCTGCCAAACAACGACAACTACAACAAAAAACTTGCTGGGTGTTGTGGTGGGCGCCTGTAGTCCCAGCTACTTGGGAGGCTGAGGCAAGAGGATTGCTTAAGCCCAAGAGTTTGAGGTTGCCGTGAGCTGTGACGCCACTGTACTCTACTGAGGGTGACATAGTGAGACCCTGTTTAAAAAAATAAAAAAAGTGCCAAGTTTGACCTATCAGAGCATTTTACTCTAAATCAGGCATCCTCAAACTACGGCCTGCGGGCCACACGCGGCCCGCCTAGGACATTTATCCGGCCTGCCAGGTGTTTCTGCCACTGCTGCCTGTCCTGCTTAGCAGCCAACTCGTCCAGGGGCCCGCAGTCCAGCCCTCCAATGGTCTGAGGGAGAGTAAACTGGCCCCCTGTTTAAAAAGTGTGAGGACCTCTGCAAATGCTATGCAATCCAGGAGTCAAACTGAATTTGAGAAGGAAAAAATAAATTGCTGGAAACTCCTAAAGTCACTAAAAAGGTATTAAGAATTACTTTGTATGTTTAAACATTTTGTACTTTAAGTTTTTCCCATAGAGGGTGAGGAGGAAAGATTGTGGGAATTGCGATCTGTGGTCTTAACACAGGGTTTGGACAGAGTTACAGCAGGCAGGCACAGGACACTGTGCTCAAAATCAATTTAAAGCAACTCCATAAACATCAGAGTGTTTTCCTCAAAGGGGGCCCCGAACACTTCACGGCAAGGCTTCGTATATAGATTTTTTGAACTTCTGGCTATTTTGAGACATGAATCCATTTGCATCCCACTGGTCCCTGGCCAAACACAAGCTTCCCAGCAATTCCAATCAGCCCGTGCTGGCCTGGCAAAGCTAAGTATTTGCTATTCACTAGAAAATTTGCTACCCGAGCATGGAGCGCCCCAGGCTTCATTTCTGACCTCATATATATAGAATACTAATTCACAGACAGTGGGACACCGCTCCCGGTGTAACTAGCTAGGACTAGTCATAACTATAGTCTGGGTATAACTAGCTGTATCTTTGATTGCTGTGGCAGAATGTTGAATAATTGGTAAAAGCCTCAAGTGTAATTTTCAACACTTGGAAACTCTAACTTCAAGTAATATGGAAAAGGGCACCTGCCCGTGTGCATGGAAACCGAGGCCTCTGGTGTTGGCTTCCTGCGGTTTGAATCTGTGTGCAGATTACACTGTGTGGGGGACAGAATCATAGGGGAGTACAGACATAAAGGCTGTCCCCAACGCCGTGTCTCACCAACCCCCCGACAGGATCCGGCAGGAAAACCGTGACTCACCGAGAGGAAGTCTGTGAGCTCTCGCTGCAGGAGCATCTTCAGTTCCCCCTTGTTGAGCTTGAACTTGTCCCCTTCCTTACAAGAGTATCTGTGAAAGACTCTGATCAGGGTGTCCATGGCCATCTCCAGCTGGGTGGGCATGTTGGCAGCAGAACTGACCCCTCCAGGAGCAGAGCACTGAACTTAGTAATAAAGGGGAAGACACATATTCAAAATAAACAGAGGGGAAACGCGAGCATTGTCATTAAAACAGACTATTACAGCCCCTCGAGTCGGCTCACTACCCAAGTGATGGCTGTTAAACCATAATAATTAGTTCTGCCCATTCTAGGGCAAGCTGCAAACGAGAGCTTTGCAGATGAGTTTTTTCTCCTTCCGAATCTCCACTCCCCTAAGATGTAGCAGTTTAGCATGTTCCTAAGACAATCAGACAAGTACAGACTCATATTAAAACATAAAAATGAAAAATAAAGAGAGGAAGAAAGTACCCAACTTCATACCTGTTCGGCAACGCACACCTCTGCCAGGGGTTGTTTACAATTAAACTATAAGCATTTTTTACCTGGGGTTCCACCCCAGCGCACCTGTTCCCAAGAAGATGAAAATTACCAGTGACAAGAGACTCAAATGGAGGTGCCTCTGCTGTTTTTAATCACCAAAATGAACAGGTGTGAGCTGCTGCCCCAAGGGGCATCCAGGAATTCTGGGTCCACTGTGGCATGAGATGAGAAGGCAAAGAGAAACCTCCAGTTATCCTCATTAACCGAAATGCAGTTAGTTGCTAGGAAGTCCATGACAAGAAGAAGGCTAAAAATAGAGGAGCAAACAAGATACCCTAGTTCAGACCTGGAGACTCCTTAGCAAAGCTAATAGCAAGGTCAGGGGATCATAAGGACAGCTGTGCACCTGTTACCAAAAAAAAAAAAAAAAACATAATGAGGAAGTTCTCCATGTGCTGATTCAGAAAGACCCAAAGCAGTGATCCAAGCTGTACAAAAAGAAATGGAAATAAGATTATATGTCTTGTGCAAGCAAGCATTTTATATGTTTGCATTTGCCTAAGGAAACATAAGAAAGGAATAAATTGGTCGCTGTCAGGGGTAAGGTGGGGAAGTAGAACAGAGTGGTTGGGAGTGAAACTTCTTAAGTTAGACCTTTTTCACTGACTTTAACTTATGCAGCAACAGGAATGTATAACCTAGTTGAAACATTGAAATAGAATAAAGGCAGAGGAGCTGTGTATGCAGGAGTCTGCAACCGGAGATGTCCACAAACTCCATAATGGAAAGGAGTCTCTATGGCTTGGCACCTGTGGCACAGTGGTTACAGCGCCAACCACAAGCACCGAGGCTGGCAGGTTCGAGCCTGGCCGGGGCGAGCTAAACAACGATGACAACTACAACAAGAAAATAGCCGAGCATTGTGCTGGATGCCTGTAGTCCCAGCTACTTGGGAAGCTGGGGCAGTAGGATTTCTTAAGCCCAAAAGTTGAGGTTGCTGGGCGGTGCCTGTGGCTCAAGGAGTAAGGTGTCAGCCCCATATGCCAGAGGTGGTGGGTTCAAACCTAGCCCTGGC